GCCAGGAAAAGCACTAGCAGGCCAGGGGTGACCCCAGGCCCTGGCAGGTGCCAGCAGGAGCCATGTCCGAGCCAGGACTCTGGGGACACTGACAGTGGAATGTCACCAGCGCCAGCCAGACCCTCCTGGGCCACTGTCACCTACCCCGGGATGACGTAGGGAGACTTGTAGATCCCAGACTTCACGTCGTGAGTGATGATGAAATGCTTCAGCCAGGGGGCCAGGACCTGGCAGACCAGGGGAGAGGGTCAGGGGAAGATGGAGAATGGGGTGCCAGGCTCAGGGGGCAGCAGGAGGGACACCAGGGATGTGGGACCCTCTGCCCAAGCTCTGTGTTCCCTTGGAAGACAGGTGGATGGGAATGCAGGTAGGGAAGAGGAGGAGCTTCCTACTGGCATGAGCCTGTGTTTTCCCAAATAATCGTCCTCTACTCCCACGGATTTTATGTATTTTTATTACTATTATTAGCATTATGCCTTTGGCCTCCCCTCACACTCACCCAATGGAGAAACAGGCTGGAGGTTGAGGGCTTTCCCACAGCTGAACCAGGAATGGAATCCAGGTGGGTTTAACACGACCAGTGTTTGCTGGGAATCCAGACCTGATCCCAGCGCAGGTCCAGCCCCCAAGCCCGTGACTTGCCCCAGAGGACACAGGTTTTCCTCATGGTAAAAAGTGGGGTTTTGGGAAGCCCCAAGCCCTCCACCCACCTCACCTTTATGACCTGGCCCCGGCCGGGCTGGAGCTCCGGGTCCGGCTGCAGCTCCCCCGAGCGCATCCCAGTGCAGTTTATCACCACATCCACACCCTGGGAGAACAGCTGCGGAGAGATGGACACGGGTGGGGAGCAACACACGGGGTGCTGCCCCCAGGGCACGACATTCCTGCTCCAAAAGGAGCCAAGTGCTTGGTCCAGCGTCTGGTATTGGATAATGCTCTAACCATCCCCTCTCAGCCACCTCTCAATGCCCAAGCTCCTTTATCCTTCCTGGGACACTTCCTAGGTCTTGGCACAGCCTTGCCCCTGTCCCCTGGTCCATCACTGATGCCAAGGACATCCTGGAGCAGGACGTGCCTGCTGGAGGATGCTTCCCCACACCGAGACAGGGCTGTGCCCCCTGCCCTGCCTCCACATCCCCACCCACCTCCTGGAAAGACTCAATCTTCTTGTGGAAAAACTTCACTCCTCTCTGTGTCAGCCTGGGAAGAACAAATTCATTTGTTACTGGCAAATTAAAAGCAAATGTATCATTCAGTGCCAGGGCACCCACTTGGCATTAGAATTACAGGAATGAAATCAAGCCCAAATACTCCCATAGACAAAAGCTCTTGGATGCAGCTCCAAGCATCCCACTACTTTCATTTTTGTCATGCAAAAATACATCCCTGGGCTCATTATTAAAGTGGGGAGAGTGTTATCCCACTGGGGCAACGAGCAGGAATCCACACTCACCTATTGGTGAGCCAGGGCAGGTAACTCCTACCCTCCAGCATCAGCGCCGTGTTGAACCAGCCGTAGCTGAAACCAGAAGAAAGGAGGTGTGAGGACCTGCGGCACCTTCTCAGGAGCCTCCAGCCCTGGTGCTCCCAACAGCCACTTGGATCTGGGACCCCAATTCCCCCTGGGACCCCAATTTCCCCTTGTACAACAAGCGCAAGAATTTCCCCCCCGCCTCGTTTACAACATAAAGCATCTTATACTGATTTTTATTTTGACACTCTCCGATGAGGTAAGAAAGGAGCTGGAATTGTTTCCATGCTGGGCTGCTGCTTTTTTGGCCATTTGAAATGTTTCCTGCTTATTTGAAGGGAAGTAGCTGTAAGAAAGCGAGGACACTTCTGCACCTGCAGTTTCTTGACCCCATTGCCCCGTGCCAGGGAGGTGTCCAGCCACACTTGCCCTGCCTGAGTCTCCAGAAAACAGACTGAAAAATACCTGTAACCAGGGAAGAGTTCGAGTTCTTTTGGTGTCAAGTTCCTGAATCCCAGGACAATGTTCTTCCAAGATGGGTCCTACAGTATGGAAAAGCTCTGATATCATTAGTGAACCTGGCTCACCATGTCAGCACGGGACAGAAGGGGGGGAAAAGGGACACAGCCCATCCCAGAGGGACATGAGTGGGGGGGCAACTGCCAACCAGGGCTGGAGAGGCTCTGCCACTCCCTCAGCCCTTCCTCACCCCAGGATGGCACAGAAAACATCTCATCCCAGGCACTGGCACAAGGCAAACTTGGAAGGATTGGGGAGCATTGGCCGGGAAGAGGCACAGCCCTGCTCGCCCCCGTGGAGGAGCTGGAGCCTTTCCCAGCCCTGTTGGAACTTGCTGCTTACCGGCACCGGTTCAGTGAACAGGTTGTAGCCAGAAAGCAGGAAAAGTCCCATTTCCTGGGCTGCTGGGGAGTGCAGGTGCCTGAGGAGGTGATCGAACGTCTCTTTATTCCAGAGCCTGTGATGAGAACAGGAGAGTGATGGCTCTGCCAGCCCCACAGAGCTGTGCCCGGGCACACCTGGGGGACACAACTCCAGCCTCCTCCTCCTCCTCCTCCTGCTGTCCCTCACGTCTCCTGCAGGTTGCCGAGGTCGCTCAGGTAGGGCTGCCACAGCCCGGCCGCGCCGTCGCTGGTGGTGTGGGGGGTGAAGCAGTCGGCGTAGAGCTCCAGCTCCAGGGAGGGCACCAGTCCGTGGAACTGCTCATGGATGCACAGGGCGCTGGAGAGCCCGATGACCCCGGCCCCGATGACGGCCACGCGCATGGCTCCGGCTCCCTGCGGGGACAGAGGCTGCTGAACCAGCTGGGGCTGCCCAGGAGGGAGAGAAGCAGCTCCCCGGGATCCAACCTGGCCTCGGCTCCGCTGCCTGAGCAGCAGGGAAGGGCTGAGGTCACAGACTCACACAATATGCTGTTTCGGAAGGGACCCACAAGGTTCATCCAGTCCAACCCTTCGTCCTGACAGGACCACTCCTGAGAGTCACACCATGGTCCTCACAGTGCATCTCTCTGTGTTCCTTGTAAAGCCTCCCAGGCCCTTCTCCAGCCCTGTCCATGCTGATGGGCACAGGAATCAATGATGAATGACCCCTTGGGACTGGGGAATGTCTCTCCATCCCTGGCTCTACCAGTGGCTCAGCTGCCCTTCCTCACCTGGCAGAAAGAGCTCCAGGTGCTTCCTACCCTGGGGCACCTCGGGGCAGAGCAGCACAGCCCTCGGCACCCTCCTCTTCCTCCCACCAGCCAGGGAGAGGTGGGAGCACCCCCCATTCATACTGTCTGCCACGGAATGGTGGTCCATTCCCATAGACCCAGTCCTCTCTGGGCAGCTCCCAATCCTTCCCAGTCCCAGGCACAGGCTGGAGGCAAGAGGTGGGCATGGACAAAAGAGATAGGAAGCAGTGGGTGTTTTCCGGTGAGTAATGCCAGGTGTGATAAGTGCAAGGTTGGATCCTCACACTGCTGTCACCCCAGGGGCTGCACAAGGGCAGCTGAGCCACCCCAACCCCTTCCTGGCATGGCTGAAAGAACTGTTGGGAAATTGCAGCTGCAAAGAGGGTCTGCAGCCTCCTTAGTCCCCTGATTCCCTCTCAGCAGAGCTTTTCTGCCTTGGAAAAGCCCTGTGGTCACTGTCTAGGCAGGGAGCAGACAGGGACCAATTTGGGGAAGGGCTGGGTCAGATTCCATGGCATGGGCAGGGGAGGATGTCCTGGCTGCATCCCAGGCCTGGTTCTGGGAGCAGGAGTAAACTCCAGCCCACAATTTTATTTGGACAAGGTGAAGAGCAGCATCTCTGCTGGAAAGGCTGCCCACAGCGGGACTGACATTTGCTGGGATGGAGGGATGAGTCACCGGAATGGCAGCGCCGCGGGAGCTGCTTCCCATCTGCCATGGAGTTACAACCCCCGGGAACCAAAACCCACGGAACCGGAGTCACCTCCTCCACCTGCAGCCACGGGGACTCTCCCCCACTGCCCCCACAGCTCCAGCCAAGGAGGATCCACCTCACTGGCTGAAAAACAACAGGAATACACGTTTTGCAGCAGTTTACCTGTGGAGTGGGGGGTCCTCGGAGGAGTCACTGCAAGTTTCAGAGGCCTCCACAGCATTCAGAGTGGCTCATTTACAGTCCAACAGGGCAAGGTCTAAGTGCTCAGGGCAGCCAGGCCAAAGTCTGTTCCAGTCCCGGGGAGGTGGACTTCCCACGTGCTGCTGGCAGCTGGCCCCAGAGCGATGGGAAACGGGGTCACCACCACGGGTGGCAGAACGCCATCCCTGACACTGGTCACCATGGTGACCGTTGGATCAGGACGCTGGGATGGGCTTAGGGGGCATGATCCTGGAGGTCTTTTCCAACCACAGTGATTCTATGACTTCCTAGCCTCTGCATTCACAGAATCACAGAATGAGGCTGGGAAAGACCTCTGAGATTGTCAAGTCCAACCTTTGACTAATCACCGTGTTGTCAACCAAAGTGCCAAGTCCAGCAGTTCCTTCAACACAAGATTCCTGCAGGGATCTGGGAAGATTGGGTGTTTCAGGCTCAGTTTTGGGGTAGGCTGAGGGAATTGAGATTATTCAGCCTAGAGAAGAGAAGGTGATGGGGTGACCTAGTTGCAGCCTTCCAGTACCTGAAGGGGGTCCAAAAGAATCAGGGAGAGAGACTATTTACAAGGGCCTAGAGTGGCAGGACAAGGGGGAATGGCTTCACATTGCCAGATGGCAGGGTTAGGTGGGATATTGGGAAGAAATTCTCCGCTGTGAGGGTGGTGTGGCTTTGGCACAGCTTGCCCAGAGAAGCTGTGTCCAAGGCCAGGTTGGACAGGGTTTGGAGCAACCTGGGGTAGAGTAAGGTGCCCCCGCCCACGGCAGGCGGGTGTTACGGGATGGTGGGGTGGGATGGGGCGGGATTTGGGGTGGGATGGGGCAGGATCGAGCCCCGCCCATCCACGAGGCCCCGCCCCCAGCACAGGCCCCGCCCCACGGCCCCGCCCCTTCCCGCGCGAGGGGAGGCTGAGCCGCGGCGGGGCCGGTGCCGCAGCCATGGCGCTGGTCACCCTGCAGCGCTCGCCGACCCCCAGCGCTGCCTCCTCCGCCAGCACCAGCGAGGTGAGCTGCCACGGGACGGGGCGGGACGGGGCGGGCAGGGAAGGAGAGAGTGGGCCCTGCCGGCGGCGGCGGGGGATGGGGAGCGGGGAGGGGCGGGGTGAGGCCCCGCGCAGGGACAGGCCCCTCACGGCCCCCACCCGGCCCCTCACGGCCCCCACCCGGCACCTCATGGCCCGAAGCTCCCGGTTCCGTCCCCTCACAGACCCGGGTCCCTCGTGGCCTCCCCCAGGCGCCCTCGCAGGCTCGGGTCCCTCCTGGTCCCGGCCTCGCGGCTCTGGTCCCTCACAGCCCCTGGTTCCGTCCCCCTCACAGCCACCCCGTGTTCCCCAGGCCCTGGCTCCGTCCTCAAAGGTCCAGTTCCAAAGTCCCTCATAGCCCAGCCCCACCACCCTGGCCCCCCACACCTCTCCAGCCCCTGGTTCCACCCCCCCCACCCGGCCCCGCAGAACCACTCACCCTCTGCCTTCATCCCCTCTCAGTCCTCATGGCTTGACTCCCCATAGTCCCCTAGCTCCTGCTCGCCCTCCACAGCCGCCCCAGCCCTCCCATATCCTCCATTCCCTTCACAGGGAGGCCCTGGTCCCTCGTGGCCCCCAGCCCTGCAGCCTCCTGGCCTGTCATGGCCACTTGCCCTGTCTTTATCCCCTTGCGCTCCCCATGGCCTGACTTTCCACAGCCCCCTGGCCCCATCTCAGCCCTCACAGCCCTCCCCAGTCCCTTGCTCTGTCCCCCTCATGACCCCCAGCCGTATGGCCTCCTGGCCCCCTGTAGCCATTTACCTCCTGTCTTCATCCCCTCCCAGCCCTGACCCTTGCAGCCTTCTGACTCCATTCAGCCCCCCAGCTCTCCTGGCCTCAGCTCAGGCCCTCACAGCCCCCCAGCCATCCCAGCCCCTTCCCCTCTCAGCCCCCAGTACTGCCCAGCCCCAGCCCTGTGGTGCTGCCAGGCTGAGCCAGGCCTGGGTCTGTCCCACCGTCCCCCTCACCGCACACAGCCCCTGTTCCCCGTGTCTCCCACTCCAGCCCTCACCCAGCATTTGCTTGTGCTCCCCAACCCCTGGGGCAGCCTGTTTGGCCCCTCTCTTGTCAGGTAAATCCTGGGCAGTGTGCTGGGCCTGTCTCCATGGAGCAGCTGTGCTTGCTTGACCCCAGGTCTTCTCCCTCCTTGACATCCCAGAGCTGCCACCACCTTCTACCCAGGGACGCTGTGCTTTCCTCCTCTGTCCCTGTGCTACCATGGCACTGCCTTTCCCCCCTCCTGCTGCACCTCCTGCCCCCCAGAGAGCTTAGCCCTTCCCTGAGGTGGCTGTGGTCCATTCCTTGGGAGCAGCTTCCGTCCTGCTCCACCCTGGGAGCAGCTCCTGTCCTGCTGCACCCCATACCTGTGTGACATCCCTGTTTGCTGCCACTCCTTGCTGTGGCACAGCCTGCACTGTGCTGCTGCCCTGTCCTTGCCCCAACTCTGCTGCTGCAGGGCCTGCACCTGACACTTACCCTGGTGCCCTGTGGTCGTGTCCTGTGCATCCCTGTCCTGCCTGCCTGGCACCCTGCATGTCCCAGCTCTGCTGCACACCCCCTCCACTCCTGTACCCCAGAAATGCCCTCTCCTGCCTCTGCCTGGCTTCCCTCCTTGCAGCTCCCACAGGCCATCCAAACACAGCTGCAACCTCCAGTTTGTCTTTCTTCTATTTTTTTTTT